TTTTTTTTAATTTTAAAGAGATTTATTCTGACCCAAATTTGGGGGCCATGACCCAAAGCCACACCCATGAAGCCTAGATCAAGTGGACTCGCTGTGGCCGGGTCACATTTTGGTTTTATACATTTCAGGGATACAGGGATTACAGGTAAAGTCATAAATCGATACGTGGGAGGCATACATTGGTTTGGCCTAAAAAGTTGGACCATCTTGGAGTGGGACGGGGGACAGGGGGAGGTTACAGGTTATAGTTGGGTTTAAAAATTCCTTGACTTGTAATTGGTTAAAGACATAAAGCTTTGTCTAAAGGCTTGGAATGTTCTAAGATAAGGAGGTCTGTTAATCAGAGACAAGCCACCTGACATATATTTGTCGGGTAATTGAGGACCTGCAGGTTTGTCTTGTATACCCTTAGGCCTATTAATGGGTTACAAAGGATGTCCCCAAGAAGTTTATTAGTCTTAGGAACAGGAATATAATCATAATTTGTTTATTGCTAGTAAGATAAGATAAGGGCATTTGATCAGGACATTTTTATTGTGCTGGTGATGGCCTTCTCTGCACTACTCTGGGTAGCTTTTAACCATGTTCATATGATGAATGCAGTGCCCCCTAGCCCAGATTCCTGCCACTTCCCTTTTTGAAGCAAAACTAAGGTGCACCGCTGTACGCTATTCAGGATCCTTGTGCTGTTAACTACTCAGTAGCTAGCTCGCTCATGTTATTCGTTACTACTCTAAATATCCCACCTCTCTTCAGATGATTTTCTCTTCATTTTTACTAAAAGCTGGCCTTCTTTTCACGATTCAATTCCACATAGGAAATGGTCTTCTGCTGCGTTAACAGAACGCTTCCAAGGCTCTTCTGAACATTAACTCTAGTGTTCCAGGGAAGAAACTATGTGTAAAGCCTATGAAAAAAGCAAAATTTTACTCTGTCTTACCGAATAAAATATCTAGTTGTGAAATCTAGGCCAAGACAGTGGTGTCGTGAAGTCTGCAGAACTGTAATCTGAGGTCCACAGGAATCTACCCGTAAGTAATGATTACGCCATTGGAGGGAAATTTTACCTGTCGGCCATGTTTGACTTAAACATGCATTGCCCAAGCTGTTGACCAATCATTTGCTAATCTCAGTAATTATTTTTAAAACATTTTAAACTTTATTTTCTTAACATCAGAAACATTTTCTCATTCACACTTATGTTTATTCTAGAAGATAAGATCTAGCATCATATGAGATCAGCTAGCAGCGTGATACAAAGTGATGTATCTGAGGCTGCTTTACCGTATTCATATGTTTCACATAGAGAATTGAGTGAGGGATGTGTATATTTTAACTTTATTCATCACTGAGAAACACAGTAGGCAATGTAAACTAAGTTATGAAATAAATAAAGATTTAAAAAATCAGACATTGTATGATACCACCAAATGGGAATTCACTTACGTTCATATATTAAGGACATACATTTTTAACCTTAAATTTTCACGAGCTACTTAAAATTACTTTAACTAGTGTCT